AAAATAAAAAGATCCAAAATAATTGGCGATCACTCAGGGAGCGTCATCGAGGCGCTAGCCACCCGCAGGATTGGGTAGAGTTGTTATCCCCCCACGCAAGCTGGCAGAGCCAGATCTTCAATTTTTTCTGGAAGGCTGGTAGGGTAGGGGTCTGCCACACCTCTGGGGGGAGAATGTTCCAAAGGGCGGGAGCCACGGCAGAGAAGGCTCTCCTCCTGGGCCCTGCCAGTCAACATTCTCTCACTGACGGAACTTGCAACATGCCCTCTCTGCCTGACCGGGTGGGGTGGGTTGATGTGACGGGCATTTGACGGTCCCCCAGGTAACCTGGACTCATGCCATGTAGGGCTTTAAAGGTGATAACCAACACTTTGAATTGGACCCAGAAGCAGACTGGGACCTAATGCAGCTCGCATAGTAAAGGTGTTATATGTGCCGTTCTTGGGGCACACTCAAAATTATCTGCACAGCCGCATTTTGGACCAGCTGTAGCTTCCGGACACTCTTCAAAGGTAGCCCCATTTATGTTAATGATTCATCTACCCTCCCGCACCCATCACAGTTTGGTAAGGATAAAGAAGAGTAATGCATCACACATCTCAAGCCCTTATCCACAACATGAATGAGTAACTCATCTAAGATACTTCCAGGGGATCACAACAAGATATTTCCTGACTTCTCACATAAAGCCCAGTTTGTAAAAAGAACTGGATCAGGACACTCTCAGACAATAATATTGGCTTCCTGGTTTAAGATGAAATTTAGTGAACTTCATTGAGAATCTTTGCTTGTTGCTGAAAACCTGCACTTCAGGGTCTTCTGCTAGCTGAAATAACAGTAATTAGACATACATACTTTAACTTATGCTGGCAACTAGTTAGGCTTACTGCATTTATTTACAGGACCAAATCTCAAGCTTAAACCTAAGGAACAATAAGTAAATAAAATTAAATCTATTTAATTTTAGCAGCTAAAATAATTATCCAACATTGGAAAACTTTAGATAATGTTACAGTTGAGATGTGGATTAACAAAGCCTCTTCAATTGCCACATTAGAAAAAAAATCAGACAAAGTTAAAATAATGAGACATCAGAGACAGGAACCACAATTTTATCAAATCCGCATGGATTTTATGGTTTACCTCAATAACAACAGACCATAATATGATAATACTTTTTATATATGGTAAATTTGTGTGTGTGTGTGTGGGTGTGTGGAGAGAGAGAGAGAGAGAGAGAGAGAGAACCTGTCTACTTACTTTTTAGTAGATTTTTTTGTATTTTCTGTATCTTTTTTCTTTATGCATCTTGGATTTAGGTTAATTTAGATTCTTGATAATGTTTGTTAATCATAGTTCAATTAAAAAAAAGAAAACAAAATATATCAAGAAGGAAAAAAAGACAATATTAAAAACTAAAAAAAAAAAATTATGCTGGCAACCCTTTGAGAACCTCCACTAACACATTCTCCATCTTTGGTATTTTCCCAGAATCTCTTCGGTGGCTGATGGCCACACAACAGTTTGAAGCTGCGAAGAAGCTCATCCTTCATTTGACTCACAGGAATAGGACAAGCACAGAATCTGATATTAAAGGAGTGATGCCTGGTGAGTGTTGGAAGCCATGAGAAGTAGACAGTGAAAATAGCATGAATGGTTGTATAGATTGCTAATTAAAAATTGCAACTTTGCTTTTGGAAAAACGTTGGATACCAGGCTCACCTGCAATTTTCCTTCAGGTTATTTAACTGACACAATGGAGAAAATAATTATTTGGCTCACTGTCTGAAATTTTGCTCCAGCCATGAAGACTCAGATCTGAATACAGGGTAAATAATACTTCATTGATACTAAGAACCAAATTATCTTGGAATATCGAAGTAGTGCTTAATATAACCTAGATGAGCCAGGTATATTACTTCCAGCCTGCAAGACAGAAAAATCAACAGCTTCACAGAACTAAAGGCTTAAACTATCTCTACAGCAGCACACAACATTAGCAGAGATATATCACTGTGGGGGATAGAAGCAGAGAGCAAGGCTATCAGGAAGGAGGGGCTGCGTTCCAGGAGGGGGGTGGAGGCAAGAGGCAGCATAGTCTGCAGGGGGAGCGTGAGAAGCCTAAGAGATTCAGGATAGCCACTCCCTAGAACCTCCCAGGGTATGTCCACTAGTTGCTGTAGTATAGATTTAGTCTGGCAAATTCTGCCTTTAAGTTGTAAACTAATAAAGGAACTGAACTCAACTGGACTGTTTCACCATTGTTCTTGGGCTGGGCCCGACAACCACTGTCTTACCACTTGCAAGTTTTGTTTAGATACTACTAGAAAACAGGACACATCTGTTTCTGTAGTCTTACCAAATCAATTGGTGTTTTTTTCTCTTTCTCTCCCTTTTGTCCCTATCACAATACTGTTTCTTCTTCAAAACAAACCATATGTTAAGTGTTTTCCTGTCTGTACATGAATTTTTCAAGGAAAAAATGTGTCAAGAAAGCACATTTTCACAGTGGATTTTACAGAAAATGTGTGCAATGTCTCTCATTTTCCTAAGTTAATTAAAGTAGTAAGTACTAAGGCGAGAGGGCAACCATTAGGAAAAAATATCTTAGAAAGCCAGAAAGAAACAAGAGAACAAACTAGGAATACAGTATTGTGGGAATGGATACTTGCTCACAAATGATGGCCAAGGGACAGTGACCTCAAAATAGAGACTATTTGGACAATTGCAAGTTGTAGTTTGGTTCATTTTTGCTCAGCAGAATTTTAATAGTCCTTGATTGTGATGTTCATTTTTCCCTGAAAGTTACTTGGTCTCTGAAGGTGTAGCAGATTCATGAATTACAATAGAACAAGCATCGTCCCGTCCAAACCTTCCTGTCATACATACTTTGCTTTTCTCCCTACAGAAGGTCTTACATATCTCAACTTGATATTTTGTTCCATACTGTCAAGTATGGAACCAATACACACTGTACTTGCCATTTTAATGGACTTGCTCTGTATTGCAGTTTGACCCTTGTGTTCCCTTTGCTTCATATTTTATGTGCTGCCCTGAATTGGATTTTGGGGAGAAGGATGCTTGTGAATTAAGCAACCATCTGAATGTTTGTAGAAGCACATTACCAATGGCTGACTGATGATAAAAAGGAAAGTAAATACACAGTGGACCCTCCTAAATTGTAATAGAGTGATTTGGGCTGTGCTCTGATACAATATATTTGGATAATCCATCTGAACCATCAGACAGATGAACATGCTCAATAGCATATGTATACCCTAGAGCATCTCTGTCTTTTCTTTCTTTATTATATTCATATCATGCCCTTTTTTAGGTAGCAAAGTGACATTTACGATATTCCAGGTGATCTCCCATCTAAATGCTGGAACTGCTCCAGAGATGAAAGTTCACAAGTTTTTACATATTTCTCTGTGTATATGAATGATTGTTAGAGCTAGATCTATTTTCAATGAGACTATTTTCTTAGCCTTTGTTATTGCAGAGATAGGTTGAGAAAGTTGCAGCTGTATAAAAAAAACTTAAATAACCAGCCAAGTTAAATTCAGTTCGTGACTCTGCAGCTTCCTGGTGTTCCTTTTGTGGGCTGAACCTTGTATGCTGGCCTTGCAGGTCTATTTTGTCATGCTGACTACCTGTAAGAGTGTCCTGTCTATATAAAAGCCATTCTTTCATTTCTGCCCTGCTCTATGGCAAAAATGGGCATCCTACAGAGCTTTTGTGTTTGCGTGTGTGTGGCTGTTAGAGCACAACCCAGATTGCATTGGCAAAATTCAGTGTTTTATTTTTTTCCGGAAATAGGAAAGGACATAGGTATGTTCAGCACATGGTTGATTTCAATTTTTATTTTATATGTGAAAAGAAGGGGCAAAATCTTCCCCCAGTGTGCTCTGAGAGGCCTGTGCAATGTATACACCTGCTCCATTAGTCATTAAATAGTAAAACTCTGCAGAGGAGAGAGAAGGATGAGCCCTGCTTGTAAACAAGCTCAGTTGTTCGGAAATCAGCCTAGTTTATACATGAATGTTCTATGCCTTGAGGACAATAGATGATCTGAATTGGAGGGTCGGAGCTCCTAGGAAAGAAAATCCTTTGCATGGATGTAGCTTATCTAGGGAAATGTACCCTGCTTCTAATGTTCTTTGGCAGATTGTGACTTAGACTAGTAAAGCAATGCTGTTTTCATTTCCTGATATTGTCAATCACACCAAGCTTCCTTTACCTGTTTGGTTGGCTCCCTCTCACAGGCCACAGGTGGTTCCCCACAGCTCTGTCAGGAAGTGAAGAAAAGGACAGCACGTCATGGAGCTCTAATGGCTTTGTTGTCAGGGAGTGCCAGATGGGGGATGTGGGAAGCAGCCAAGCTGGAGGTAATGTATGAGCAGGCTGCCAGACACAGAAGTTCCATACAAGCCCTACACTAACTCATGCAGAAGCAGAGACTGTGATCAGCAGACTCACATGATTAGTTCGTGGATGAGGTACATCACTTCAGATTGCTCTGCAGGAGAGGATCCAATATTTAAATGCACTTCCATGTTTAAAATACACTTGTGGAAATGGGAATTCAGTGGGAAATACAGTTGCATGATGCTGTCCTTTAAATATTAGGGATAATGAACTCTTTCCCTGTGACACACTGATTTTATGTGTGGAAAGCTGTCTCACCTTCAAGAGTTAATCCAATAATGGATATTTCATATCAGACTGCTGATCTTGTGGCATAGCTCTCAGGTGCTGGCTCAGGTGCTGTTATTGGAGAGGGAACTCACTGAAGATTGTATCCATCTAGCAACAGCAACCTTGGGCAATTCAGATTCTCCATCTTGCCTTCACACTTGAGCATCTCCCAAATATTCTTTAAAGCAGTGTTTCTCAACTTGGCAACTTTAAGATGTGTGGACTTCAACTCCCAGAATTCCCCAGCCAGCCTTACTGCTGGGGATTTTCTCCCTGAGTCTGGCCTCCATAATTCCATTCCATCACACCTGGTTTCTTATGTATGGCCAGT